ACTTACTGAGCAATTAGCATTGTCTGAAAGTGGAATGAGCCACCTCAGGAGGTAATTTATTGTCCCCTTCTTGGACACCTTAAGCAGAGATTGGATTCCTCCTTGCTGGGTTTGGAGTAATGTGGATGACTTTTCTGATATGTGTTAGATTAGATGGCCACTGATATCTCTTCTAATTTGAAAATGTCATTTTGTAATTGTCTTCAGCCAAGAGGTTATGTTGTACAAGGACATTGGATTTGGAATCAAAAGACCTGGATTTGAATCACAGTTCTACTAGTTACTATCTGGGAGACCTTGGGCATGTAACTTAGCCTCTCTAAACCTCAGTTCTTCATCAGTTAAAATGAAGCAATTGGACTAGATTGCCTAAGAGGTCACTTCCAACTCTAAATCCTACCGTATTAAGAATATGATGGAAAGGACAATGGATTTAGACCAGAGAGGGGTGTTCAAACATTGTCTCAAGCACCTGCTATCTGTGGGATGATGGACAGGTTGTTCAACCTCTTTGGTTTTTTCTTTTCATCTATAAAATGGTATCTATCCCACAAACTTGGTTGTGAGGATCATTCTGGATATGCAAAATACTTGGTAATAAAATACTATAAAAATACTACGTAAATGCCAGTTATTATTATTATCATCCATGGACCAAATCAGACAAAAAAGACTGGTAAACTAGTCCTAAGAAGTGTATTAACTTTGCATCATGCCTAAGAATAGATCTAATGTCTTGTAATTTCCTGGACAGCGTGAATCTAAAATCAGTTAATCTGACTGATTTACAATACCAACAGAGGGTAAAGTTTAAGGAGTAAAATGTGGTAATATAGTGGAAAGATGACCAGATTTGAAGCCAGAGAACATGAATTCAAATCCTGGCTGTACCATTTTCTACCCCTGTAAGTTACCTTACCTTTCTGGGCTTCATCTTCTTCATATGAAATATAAGTGGATTGGATTGGACAACTTCTAAAGTCCTTTCCTATTCTAAATCTAGTACCCTATGGTCTCTACCACCATCCTACGGTCCACAGTACTTTGCCTTTTTATCCTTGGACAGAGTTGGCCTTAGAAGGAGTCCACCTATAAAAATGTATGGGAATGTGAAAGGGTCCCTTATTCCAAAGCATCAACTCTCACTTCCTTTTATTTTTCAATTTTACCAATATAGATTTTTATCAATATAGATTCTTTCTTTAGGGTCCTGAAGATTTGTCTTTTAATCCCCTATAAAAATACATATGCTTGTAGGATCTGCTGACTTAAGGTTTTACCTAATAAAGCTTACCAGACAACCAGTTCAAAAGAGAGAATCATGAAATGTCATAGCTGGAAGTAATGCTCGAATAGCTCTTGATTTGTACCTTCTCACACATTTATCATGTATTCTTTGCATTATGGATATGTATTCTACCATGTTATTTCATAGATATGAACATTAGAAAAAATATTTTAGCAGTTTCATGAAGGATGGATTGGAGAGTAGAAAAAGCACTTTGCAGTTACTTAAAAATGGTAAGTGATGAACTAAAAACCCAGAGAAGTCATGTAATCAATTATCTCAATTCCCAATCAAATGTTATTTCAAATACACCCTGCATAGGTTAATGCTAAGATGCATTAAAATGTACCTGTCTCCAGAAGGCTCCCACTAGAGTGACAGGGCAGGCAAGTTGGAGAGAGAATTATGACCAGACAAGCTTTGGGTACCCCTCAAATCATACTACATAGGACACCACCCACACTACCTTTGCTCAAGGACAGCCCTCACCATCTGTAAAGAACAATTTAAATCTATTTAAAGAACTTCAAAGAACAAGGAAACTGGTGGTTTCAAGTTTGTGTACATGTGTGTACACAGTCCTCCTGGTGAAACCACTTCCTCTTTTGTTCATTGGGAAAATTATTGCTGGACTTGCTAGTATGGTTGCTCTGTCTCACCAGATGAGGAATGATAAGATTACTCACGCTGTCCTCTGCCCAGCCTGATTACTTAAGTGTATTTCTCTGTGATTTCAGTCCTCACTCATCTGTTCCAAACTTAAATCCCAAGATAAAATCAGTTTTCTCCCTTTATGGTACATAGAGGTTTACTATTGCTAATTTTATTTGAGCTGTAAATTAGCCTATCATGGGTTCAATTAACTTGCTAATCCTCCTTTGTGATACAAGGTTTTCACAAGCTGCAATACAGGTCAGAAATATTTGGACAGCACCAGGTGTTTGAGTGCAGTTGGCTAATTAGAAATCATATCTCCTTCCTTATTCATAATCATCAACTACTACTGAATTATTCTCGGGTATGTGGCATTTTCCCAAGAACTGTGGATACTTATGAGGCACAGAGAAGACATATGTAGTGGGCCAGGATGTGTTCTGACAGTGATATCTGAAGCCAGGGAGAGCAAGGGAAATGGTTTTAATAATTGACCTCTTGCCAAGGTGGGGGTCTAACTGAAGTCACTAGGATGTAAGCTATGCTGTAAGGTTGCTGAGAGGCAGTAGACAACAATCATTGCCAAAATAGCCACCCTAAAATTCAGTAGACATAGAGGAGTGAGTTATCAGTGGGTTGGAATGGGAATTCCATGGCAGTTTAGCCTACATTGCAATGGTCATGGGGCTGCCTGTTCCCTCAATGCCTCACAGTAACTTTTTAGCATGCTCTGCCCACACAGTGCAGGGGCACTCTCATCTACCCCTGAAGTGACAACTCAGACAATAAAGCCCTTGTCCTAGAGGATATGATAATCCCATTGGCCATAAGAGATGATCTCATAGGCGAAGTAACAGACATATACTCTTTTTTAGGGTAATGGGGAAATCATGGTGGTAGAGCTAAACAGATTTGAGTCTGCATTTTGGACTGTAGTGCAGGAAGATTGGACCAAGGCCTTCAGAGTCATTGTCTGTATTCATCCTTCCCTTCTTAAGACTAATGTATGGAGCTTAATTATTTCTTTTTCTTTTGTGGTAGTAGGTGTGAATTATCTGAAACAATGCCTATGTACTTTAAATTACTTGTTTTATTTGGGAAGTTCAAAAATTAAACATACTGTTGTCATTCTAGTATTAACTCCCTAAACAAAATAGAACTTTGTGTGTATTTGAGGTTACCATATTCTAAAATAAACTTGTTCCCTTGAACTCAAGATGAGACAGAATTGAGGATAATCCTTTGACTTTCGTTTTCCAATTCTGTTTTATCAAGCCAGAATGTTCTTAGAAAACAAGTCTAGAATACACTCCATCTTCCCAATCTGTTCATTTTCAATGGATATTCACAGTGCCTAGAATTCTTTCCCTCCTTATCTTCACCTCCTGGCTTCCTTCAAGTCACAGCTAAAAACCTGCCTTTTGCTTGTACATAATTGTTTGCATGTTGTCTCCTCCATTAGACTATGGGCTCCTTGAAAACAGGGACTGTTCCCCCTCCCTTTTTTGGCACTTCCAGGGCTTAGCACATTGCTTGGTGCACAGTAGGTATTTAATAAATGCTTGTTGATTTAACTTCTGAAATGAAGACTAGAAATGCACAGTTTCCCTTTGATCACCTATGTTCCTCTTTCTTTTATGATATAAGATTCTATTAAAAATCATGGATATCCCTCAATACAGGGGCATATGCAAACCCAGAATTTCCCAAATATGGCATAAGTTTACATACACTTTGCATCTCACAGCAACTGTAATCCAAGGTGAGCAGTCTTACAATGTTTGATCCCAAATACATAAGAGAGAAAGAGATCAAGTTATACATAGATGGAATCCCCAGTTCTCCTCCACAATCATTTCAAATGCCACTTCCTCCTAGAAGCTTTTCCCAATCTTCTCAGTTGTTAATGTTCTCCATCTGAAATTACTATGTATTTTCTATATCTCTATCAATATATCTATATCATCTATATCTATTTCTATCTATATTTACTATAAATGCATATATATGTATATATGTGTATATATGTATATATATGTACACATATATGTATATATGTATATATGTATATATGTGTATATATGTGTATATATATATATATATATACATTTCTTGTTGAGTTTAATAGATTATTCATTTTCCATGAAAAGGAATCAGATCAATCTACCAAAAGCTCAGAAATCCTCACAATTCTTGTGAGTCATTTTTAAAAAATGAAGCTCTTTTTATATCTGTGTGCATAAAGTTAGCACATGGATAGAGAACAGGGGCAAGTTAATAGAGAAGCTATGAAGATTAATGAGATTACTGATTTCTGACAGTGGTTAGGATGAAGCCTACTAGAAAAGCCATGTGTTTCCCTTTAAGGCAGATCATGTATAGTCATGCTGCCAGGCAGCCTTTGAGAAGCCTTCCCCAGGGACCTGGGTCACTCCTCTCTCAGGGTATGCTCAATTCAGGCATCAATAAGTCATCTGTTTGAGTAATTTTCACTATATGGAGTGAGGGTCATGAAGCAAGATGCACATCTTTGTTCTTCACATGCTGAAAAAGGAGGGAGGGTATCCCAAGGCTAGAAGCCAGTGCTCCTTGAGTGGCTTACAAAATCTGTTACATCCCTAGCAGTAAAGAAAGTACCCCCTTTGCAGAAGAAAACTGTGGGGAATTGTTTCCAAAGACAACTTTTCTGACCACTTTACAGGCTATTGCCTGGATATGGTGATAACTAGCATTCTGCACATACCCAGTGAAAGAGGAAGGAAAATGCAGACCTGGAAAGTTAGGTCTATTCAGAGCACCGTGTTCTTTAAAAAAAAAAACAAACAACTGACAATTTAAAATGAAAGTTTTATCCTCTGCAGAATAAAATCAGGTCCTCTGGTTTTGTATTTCAGGGTGTGTGTGTGTGTGTGTGTGTGTGTGTGTGTGTGTGTGTGTGTGTGTGTGTGTGTGTGTATGTGTGTGTACGTATGTCAAGAAATGAGCTTCCAAAGCAAAAAAAGAAAAAGGAAAGAAAAACAAAAATCACTAGAGAAGAAAAAAAGGAACCAACTAGGGGTACACACAATAGCCGCATGTAATATTTATCTGAAATCCTCTGTGCCTGGGAGTGGGAAGCTGTCATTTGCTTGGGTTAATTATACATGCAGCAGAAACTCAAGGCGATTGGCTGTAGTAGCACTGAAGGCAAAGGAAGGGAGGGGAGAGGAGGGGAAAGAGAGTCTTGCAGCACTCAAATGTAAACAGTGGAAAGAAAGGGATCGAGAGTAAAAGCTTGGGGTGCTCTCTCGATTGAGCAGCCCCCGGAAATCTGCAATGGCTCGTGTAGCCAGCCTTTTGTTCACCTAGCTCCGGCAGCCTCGGTGGCGTGGATGGAAAGCCCGTGCTGTGAAGGCTGTTCATGTCTCTTCCATGGATTTTAACAATAGGGACGGTGGGGATGCACTAGCTCCCCCCAGCCTGCAGCTCCCAGCCCTGCATGCTAGTTCAAACGGGGCAATGGAAACGAGCATGAGGAAGTTCACAGTGCGTAGATTCTTCTCGGTGTATCTCCGCAAGAAATCCCGTTCGAAGAGTTCGAGTTTAAGTAGATTTGAGGTAAATCGCATGGCCCAAATGACTGGGGTGGCATCCAGGGGAAAACGTATGAATCGGGGAGTATCTGCAGTTGCTGAATGAATGATGAGTTGGGAAAGGCTGTGTTCTAGAGGTTGGGGATGTCCGTTCGCTCGTGCCCTGATGCTGCCGCTGCGCCGCCGCCGCCGCCGCCGCCGCCGCCTCCTCCTCTCTCTTTGGGCAATAGCTGAGCAGTTTGTCTTCTGCTGGGCACATTTTAACCCGTCCGATGAATTTAACTAGTGTAGCCCTGATGCGTAAAGACCCATGCTTGGGAGTTAGGGAAACTTCTTTTAGACCATGGCTGATTCACCTAAGTCTAAACCAGCAACGCTCAAAATATTATTGATGTGACTTATTGAACTAGACTGCCCCTGTGACTGTCAGTCAACACTCAGCTTTGTCCTGTTGAAGTTTCCTTAATTTAAAAATAAGATGCAGCTGCTGCTAAGAATTTGTCAACAATAAACATTTTCCTTATTTACCTAGCTAGTTCTTGGTGTTAATGTGTATCTGAATGCAGTTCTGGATTGCATCCAGAAATGCCACATGATATTTAGAGGCATCCCAAAAGGTGGTAGAGAAGTAGAGGGTGTGCCTTCAGTAGTTTCATCCAAATTCCCATCATCTCCCATGATTCTGCTCTTGTTGATTATTGATTTTTCAGGTGTGCACTAAGGTATTTAACTTAAAGGAACATAAATGTTATTTTCTTATTTAGAAGATTAGAATATTTTAAATGGGCACAGAATTAGTTCCCCACCCCACCCACAGTACCATCTACTTAGCTGGCTAGGGCATTCTATAAAGGCAGCTTTCCTTTAATAGAGCACTGATATATTAGGCTCTTGCAGCTTTGGGGTCAATTTAGAATGGTCCTGAAAACCTGGAAGATCCTGAAAATGATGCCTCCCCCCCCCCACTTCATTCACTCTATGGCTTTGAATGTTTGTAGAGTTGCTTTCCAAACAATTTTAAAGTAGGCTTATAGCAGTAGGTGAGAACTTTTGAACACCGCCCCCAAAATCCAAATCAGTTTAATTTCCAACATAATAGAAAGGTAAGGCACATTTTCAGTGAAGTGGAGACCTCCTGGAAAGAGATATAAGGAGAGATTTCTACAGATTTCTTTTGGTGTTGTCCTTGGCCCTCACGCAGTGAGTGCAGTAGGATTTTTGTGTTTATTCTTTATGTTACCTCATTTGAATCAGTTGCCTTTTTTTGGTTTCAATCTTGTTTCCTTTGTCACTGATGGCTCTGTATTGTACCCTATTACAGATGGCTTAAGTCGCTGATCTGATCAGCTTTGGATTTAAAGGAAGCTTGGAATTATTTAATTACAAAGTTTATCTTGTGTTATTGCTGCATCAAGAGTTGAAATTGCTAGGCTGAACCTTACTGTGCCTGTTTTCTGGGAGAGAAAAGCATATATTTACAAGAACCATTGATTGAGGGGTACTGGGAGGTCTCCCAGTTGGGAAGGCCTATTGATGACCAGAAAAAAATATATACATTTAAAATTGCAGTTGAAATTTTGGAAGAATACAAGGATTTTTAAAAAATTATAGAGTGGATAACAGAATTCTAGAGCAATGTTTTAAGTGTTTTTAATTATTTACATCTTCTCCTTTTAAATCCATTGTCTTTTTCAATGTGGAGAGGATTATGTTACTAATTTTTTTTCTCCCAAAGCACCAGCCCTAGTGCGGAAAAGACAGTGCCAGGAGCCCTTTTTGAAATTTGTCAGAGTTGAGGGCTCATATCACAACTTTGCAGTCCTCATCCCTACCCCACTCCAGCCTTTATTATATCTAATATTATTTCTAGACCTATTTTCAAATAATGTGTAAGGAAGACTTTTTTCTTTTAGAACTCATGACCAATAAAAACCTGTTCCATTATTGAAAAGTGAAATCATAAAATATTTTAGTACCTATAAATGTCCAAACTGATTGAGGAAAACCACAGTATTTTCTGAGAGAAGCCTCACCATTTTTACATCTACACATTCACAACTGATTGCAGCCCAAGGAGTGCTAATCAACAAAATGTAAAAGGCAGGAGCCCCCTGCCAGTAGCTTGGAATTTAGAAGTCAAAACATCCAGTAATTATCTCAAACAGATGGGTGTTTGCCCTGGGTTGGTTCAGTATACCAAATGAGAAAAAGTCCCCAGTGACCAAGAAGTAAACCAAAGGTAATTTGGCTTAGAAACATAAAACAACCATTTTTAGTTGTTAAATTTGTTCCAAAATATGGTAGTTTGAATTAACCCCAAAGTCTGGTGTCTTATAATATTTGAGTACCATAGAATAGGATGAAATACCATTGCTAGCAGGAATAAAAGAAAGGAAGAAAAAACCCAAACTATTCATCTACCTTCCTGTCCTGGTTTGCCAATACCATGACTTTAAATATAGCTTCCTTTGATTTCTACTGCCTCAACTCTCAGATTTGAGGGCAGATGTGATTTTATAAATTTTAACTTATAAAAAAAATGTAAACACTTCTGTAATACCTGGGTTGCTTTTCTCAGATTCTCCAGGACACAATTTAGGGAGGAGGGGATGGTAAACAAAAGAGGAAAAGAATTATTTTTCCTGATTCCTGTGGGTGCCTTAGCTTTAGGTCCCTTCTCATTTTTATGGGTTTATATCTAACTTGTGGGATCTTAGGATCCTTGCTTCTTTCTAAAAGTTAGAGTTCAGATCTTGTTTGACCCCTTCCTGACAAAAGCTCTGCTAGCAGAGCATTTGGCAGCCAGAGGCTTGCCTTTGCTTGAACAGAGGGGGCTCAGAGAGATAGTCAACTGTCTGAAAGTACACCACAAAAAAAGATACATTATGAGAGAGGTATTTTCTTATTACCTTTCTACAGTATAAAAACACATTTTTTTAATTCTACTCCCCATGGCACATCAGTATTTATTTTGTTAGAAGGTGTCATATGTATTACAATAAAGACTTCCAGTTCCCAGGAGGACAAATTTTCACACGTGGAAACATTCTGAAGGAGGGTAGTACAAAGCCTGAGTAGGGCACATAAGTGCCTTGAACCAACTTTTCCTACTATGCTATTGGGGAAAAAATATTCTCTAGGCCCTGAAGGCACCAAAGAAGGCACCTGACTAACGTAATTCTATAATCACAGAAGGTAAGGGATGGATGGGTCCACTCAGGCTATTTAGTCTGAGAATCTCCTTCACAGCCCACTCATTTAGTGGTTATCAAGTTTTTGCTTAAAGACAGCCACTAAGGGGAGTCCAATTACTTGCCAAGAAATCCAATTCTAGCTGTGGATAGCTCTAATTTTAAAGAAGTTTTTTGGGCAGCTAGGTAGAGCAGTGAGTAGAGGACTGGCCCTGAAGTCAGGAGGACCTGAGTTCAAATCCGGCCTCAGACCAAACACTTGACATTTACTACCTGTATGACCCTGGGCAAATCACGTAACCCCAGTTGCCAAAAAAAAAAAAAGTTTTCTTCATATCAAAGCTGAATTAGCTTAAATATACCTCTCTGCACCTTAGAGCCATTGTCTTTAGTTCTGTCCTCTGGGACCAAGTAGAATCAATTGAATCCTTATTCCAGATTTAAGCCTTTCTTAGCTACATATATTGATTAGGGCTCACAATGTATCAGAAAAGTAAACTAATCTAGAGTCAAAGGAGAATAGCAAATTTCTGGCACCATATATGACAGTGTTTTAAGATTACCTTCTAACAATCTCATAATTCCCATCAGCTCCAACCCTCTCTATACTTGCTGCCATTCTTCAATAATAAAATAACTTATCTCTATATAATACAAGGTTAATAAAGTGTTCTGGTCATGTAGCAAGGACAGCCCACATACTATATTACTCATATGACATTAAAAAATTTGGAGGAATTGCCCCCAAGAGGAGGGCAAACACCCTATGGAGAACTTAAGGAGGGTAGAGATAAGCATTGCCTTGGACGAGACTCTATAGATGGATTGCAACTCATACCATTGAAGAGAGTAGTTATAGCAATGAGATAGAGATCCTTGATGCATTTTCTCACTATAGCACTGTGAAATAGGTAGGTGAATATATATTATAATTCCTGTTTTGCTGGGCTATCTCCAGTTGTCCTGATGTAGATCTGACCACTGGACCCAGATGACTCCGGAAGAGAAAGTGAGGCTGATGACTTTGCACAGCCCTCCTTACTTAAATCCAATTCACTTACAAATTATCACATCATCTTTCTGATGTCATGGTCCTCTTTGAGAATAAAGGACAAACCACAGTCCCTATTTTATAGACAAGGAAACTATAATTCAGAGAATTTAAGAAATTTTCTCATGGTCTCATAACTTACTAAATGTCAGAGCTTCTATTCAAGCCCACAAACCAACTTCCAGGTATGATACTCTTTGAATTTACCACATTTCCTTATAAGTACACACCTTAGGCTAACTTCTAAGAAGTTTTGACAGCAAAATGGTAACATGCTTTTCTGTCACAGAATATTTTTCAGCTAACTGTCCAATTGTCTGTGAATTATGTTGGGAGGGGGAAAACCACAATTCATTTAAAGTAAAGTAATCCCATGACTCTAAAAAAATTGTAATATAACCTCAACCTGGAAACTTAAACTTCATATGATAATACCAAATTATACCACTTATACTATGTTACAAGATTTTTTATTTCCTGTGAAAAATGGTATATGGTACATGTAGAGACATGGATAGCATATTGGGCTTAAAATCAGGAAGACCTAGTATCTCCTGACACTTATTTTTGCCAGACCACCAACAAATCACCTAAGCTCTTTGTGGCTCCATTGGGTTTATCAATTAAGCCATAGGCAGGCATCTATATGGCACATAATGAAATGGACTCTTCAACTTTAATGGGATTCTGGAAAATTCTGTGGAAGTTAGAGTTTATAGGGGCTTGTAAGAATCTCTGGGAGCTAGAGTTTGTTTTATAGAGGAAAAAACACTAGACTTAGGC